AGTGGGCTGGAAGCTTTGGTTTCCTTTTGGGATTCTGCTGGTTATATTTTTTAGATTTGAATTGTTATCTTCTTTCGGAAATTATAATGCCAAAAATAAACTCCTTCCTCCGCTTCTAAGTGGTTTGCTGCCCTTTGGCAGTGGGCACAGAATGCCTAGCTGACGGTATGAGTAAAGTATTCTGGGGCAAAAGGAAGCATATGAGGATATTTAAACTCACACACTAGAATAGCAAAGTATTGCTCTTTGATAGTATATATAATAAAAACAGTTTCTTTGATAATATTTATTAAACGCTAGTTTTAATAATAAGAATAGAGTATTTCTTTAAAATGACATAGGAAGTGTGAATCACTAAACACAAGGAAAGGTAGCTTAAAATGTACTTAGAAAACCAGATGAGCCAACTCCAAGCGACTGACGGCTTCCTTCATAAAGGCTACATGTCAGTGAAACCAGAAGACGCCAATGGGGGGGGGGGCAGGTGGTCATGGACAGAAGGTGTTATCACACAGGCAAACATAAGCTTAATTGTGCCGTAAAATATGAACTGTGCTTGTTGCATATTTCTTAAACTGAAAGGTGCTAATTTGGAAATGTGAAGAAGGGATGTTGTAAATCATGTTAAGGAGTGCAAAGTCTGCCTGTGTTATTGGGGTGTCAGCTGCATGGGGGGACAGCGCCCAGGCTTGGCAGCCCCAGCAACCAGTGGCCGGCCTGAGTCAGCTGCTTCTGCAGGCAGAGGGCCTTTGGAGAGGAACGCAGCCTACTGTCCTTTCCCAGGCACTACCTCACAACTGTCTCTTCCTTTAAAGACTAAGCCCCCAGTTCCTTTTAATAAGGTGCTTTGTTTCATACATATGTATCAAATGTTTAAAAAAAATACAGGTTCAGACAGAGGGAGGCCATCTACCCAGCAGCACATGCAGAGCCTCTGTGGGGCGCCTGCAGGCCACGCAAGGGTGTCGGCCCCACTCGGTGCGCTCCTCCCTCCGCAGAGATTTACTCTGCTGAGTGCCTTAGCACCAGCACCCTCCAGAGCCTTTAGGTCTAGAATAGGTACCCAGTAATGCTTGTAGGAAGAGGCAAATTAAAAAACAACAGCCACACATGGACAAATTAGTTGGGTGTATATAGTTCCAATCATTTCAATTCTCCTGGGGAAGAATAAAAAGGAAACTGAACACCCAAGGAAACCCCCATGTGGGGTTAAAAAGAAAAAAGAGACATAAGTTTAGTTTCACAGTTTGGCTTGGCGTTCGCTCACTGATGGTGGCTGAAGCAGATTGCATGAGCACTCCTGATAGCTGGAGTTAGGTGTATTGTGTGTGTTTCTTTTAATAAACATTTCGTATGAAATTACTGATGATAAAGAACTTGCTAATTGAGATACTGTTCTAATTCATTAAGTGAACCCAAAGAAGAATTGTGGTGAAATACTTGTTTTGTCTTTCCAGAGCAATGCATCCATGTAAAGGAGCCTACTAAATACTTTTGACTGACCATCAACAATTCATAAGGAGTCTTACACAGTCAATAAATGTTGATTCGGTTAATGCTGAAATGTCCCACACATTCTGATCTAATTCCTGTTTTAGGGCTTTATATCCTCACCACCATCAGCAAGATCTTCAGTGTTTTTCTGTGACCTTTGTGCCTTTTATGCTCTAGCTCCTGTTCTCTAGTCTTGGTTAGATACATGAGACTGCTCTGTAAGAGCCTCCTTGAAAATTCCCAAAGACAAGCTCAGTACCTTATTTTTATTTCAACAGAGCCTTGTCCCCCTGACCTCCGGGACAGCACACCACACTTGACAGTGGAATCTCCTCTTAACTCTGCAAGGCCATGTTCGTTCTCACGCTGGCAGAAAGCCCGAGAGCACTGGGCCTGGCCGGGAGACGCGTGTTCTGCCGCACTGTTCTCCGCCCCGCCTGGGTAAGTGATCCCTACACCTTGTGATCACAGGCACAGGCAGCTCCTGCTCCTGAGGGCATCTGAGGACTCCCTTTCTGAGAAAGCCCGCGGAGTTGAACTATGTGTGAGAGTCTATGTAAACCTCAAGGATTCCAGCTCAACCCCTCCTCCTACACATCAGGACACAGGCAAGAAGTCAGAAAGATATGCTATATATTCTACTCAGAAAATACCAAATATTCCAGTTGATAAAATTAAATGTAACAACTGGGCGTGGTGGCACATGACTGGGATCTCAGCACTTAGGAGCCTGAGGCAGGAGGACTGCTGTCAGTTTGAGGCCAGCCTGGACGACATAGTGAACTGAAGGTCAGCCTGAATTACACAGTGAAACCCTGTCTCACAGCAAATTAAAAAAAAAAAGTTTAAATGTAACAAAGATGATAATACTTCAGAAATATGATAATACAATTAATATTGTTTAATTTATCTGTTAAAAAAAACTCCTGGGGATGCTTAAATACTTGAACAATTTGACAGTGAAAATAAATTCAGACATATGTGCAAACAAAAAATTTTATTTTTTAAGTGGTTGTGCAATCATGTATCAATTTTTTAAAGAACAGTGACCAAGTAAATATGTCATATTATATAGAGATTTCATATAAAAGAACTTGACATGTGATAAGTTAGAATTAGTAATAGAAGACAAACAATGGGTGGAACAAAAGAATTAGTTAAGATTAGAGTTGAGTATTCAAAAATGGTGTGAAGACACCTTACCATATCTTATATAGTATTAAACAGTTAATATATAACCAAAAGTATTTTTCTTCCCAAAGTGGAAGAAAATAGATTAATGTATCTATAATGTGAATAGACTAATGTAACAGATGTAAGAATACAATAACATCAGAACATGAAGTATGTCATTTATATACCTGTTCACGTCTAAATAAATAACACCAATAGAACTGCATAATAAAGGTCAAAGGCAAAACATTTTTAAAAGGCTCAACACATGCCTACTGCCCCAAATACAGAGAATCATTGTTTTTATATTGGTAAACAATCTGCTTTCATGCCATCAGCAATCAAGGGATATTATTTACACAAAAGGACAAGTTTGCACAAATGGCACAAATAACTAAAAGACACCTGTGAAAAATCAGTGTTGGAGGAAGGACAGGAACAACCAAGAGCCAGTCTACACTCCTGGTACCTCCAGATTTCTGAAGAGCAATGTGCTGGTAAGCGGCAGGAGCTACAAAATTTTAGAAATCCTCAATCTATCCTTCTATTTTAGGAGAATATGAAAAGAAAAAAATGAGGAGCATAAAGTTAATCTACCTACATTACTTTCCATAAAGCATAGAAACTCAACTGCATAATTAAAATGAAGCTGGTTTAGGTAACTTCTCAGCATTAGCAGGGTGGACTATAGTACATTATTATAAACCAAAATACTTACCATGGGGATTTTTTGACTCATGGAAATCTATCTGTGAAGCTCAATGGATAACGTTGAACAAGAGGCAAATATACTAAATGTAAGGTCATTGGAGATGAGTCAGGTTTCTCTTTTGTTGAATTCACAGAAGCAGATTTGAGTTCTGGTACACAATAAATGTTCAACAAGTGTTTGTTGAATGACTACATAAATGATTTCAGTTTGACTATCCTTTTGTCTGCTCGGACCTCTGGCAGTGTTGCAATAGTTCCCAGCCTTTGTACAGCTCACCTTGATTTCCCAACCCCAGCCGGCCCTAGCCACATGAATGCATCCTTTCTATGGTCCTGGAGTCCAGCTCATGACCTCTGCTCTACTTGTCTTTATGCCCCGAGGGACACTCTGCCGCTGCTGCATAAGCACCTACCATGATACCTGCATTGCTAACGAGCATAAAATATGAACTAGACTTGGGAAGAAATGAACGAACTTTGCCAAGTGTACACCGGCACACATGGGAGGTGAACAAAGTAATACATTTAGAGTTAACGACGAATTGCCGTCATTCCAGGGGAAGGAAACAGTAGGACTTGAAAAACTGGTTACTTGAATTGTCTTTTTTTAAAGGAGGTAATACATTAATGTTAATATTAAACAATATTTTTAATTAATTGCTGTCAAGTTCCCCAGACTACATAGGTCTCCCCAACGTCAACTGCCTATTTAAAAGAGACAAAGACAGCCAAAGATTTGACCTTCTCTGAAAGGCTGACAGCTTTGACTCTCAAGGAGATGCCAGCTGACAGAATTCTGTGTCCAGAGTGCAGGCGGAGAGCAGTGGTACATCAAAGCTTACAAAGGAAGGGTCCCAGGAGCTCTGAAGTGTAAGGGAAAAAAGAGCTCCATCCTGAGAATTATCAGGCTGAGGAGCACAGTGTGACAGTGTGACAGGCTGCTCTAACAGAAAAGCAAACGCGGACACACACACACACACACACACACACACACTGGGGCGCCTTCTGCCCCAGCCCCCTGCATCTGGCCTCCCCGTGCCACCGAGTGCCCAGCAGAATGAATGATTAAACGACCAAAGAGAACTGGGAAGATCAGGCTGCCAGATTTTATGAGGCAATCACAGCATCAAGTGACCTCAATGTCTACTTAGGAAGAGCGTGATTTGTTTGCGAGAGCGCACAGCCAAGAGGCCCAAAGGCAGGCGTGGACTCAGGTAAAGGACGCGTTATAAGGCAGACCGGGGAGGAAAAAGAAGTCCGAAACGCCTGGGCCCGGAGCACGCCCGGTCAGGCCCAGGCTGGAACCAGCCCGGCTGCAGGCCGCGGCCCCCTGTCTGTCCCCAGGTCGTCCCCAGGCTGAGCCTCTGGTGCTATAAATACAGCGGCCCACATGCTGCAGGGAGTGACACGGTGTTCCCTCTCTCGCCAGGACAGATAACACGAATGTGCCCTTTAAATGCCCCACGCCGAGGCTCGCCCCAGCCCACCCCTCTCCGGAAGCGCCTTCGCCCCCGATGCCCTCTGCAGGGCGTCCCGCACCTGCCCAGCCAATGCGCTCTGCGCGCGCCGCCCGGAGCGCTGCTGCTATCGCGAGAGCCTGGCGGGGATATAAGCGGGGCTGCGGGCGAGGCGAGCGCCCCTCCGCGTGCGCAGGTCGGGACGGCGGCAGTGCCTGCCGGCCGTGGGCGAGAGCGAGAGCGGCTGCTGGCTTGCAGGCTGTGTGCGCCCGGCCGTCCGGCGTCATGGGTGATCAGGCCTTGAGCTTCCTGAAGGACTTCTTGGCAGGTGGCATCGCCGCCGCCGTCTCCAAGACCGCGGTCGCCCCCATCGAGAGGGTGAAGCTGCTGCTCCAGGTGAGCGCGCGAGCGGGCGGCGGGGCGCGGGGGGCGCGGGAGCCTCTGCGGGGCGCGGGCGCTGCAGCCGACGGACGCGTGCCAGGCCCGGGCCCGGGCGGCCGCCTGCGCCAAGGGGAAGGTGCCCTCTGCGGAGCAGGTCCAGCGTCAGGAGCAGATTCCTGGTGTCGGGTGGCGCCGGCGTTCGGGTGTCTATATATGGAAACCCCACCCGGAGTCACTGTGGAGCGAGCCAGCTCCGCGGCGGGGACGGCACCCGCGCCCCACTCCGGGCCTCTAGGCCGGCCTTATCTTTAGACTTTCGACATCCCTGGCACCTTCTTATGTACACCTGCCTTACGCAGTTAAAAGAATTAATCACTGTCGCTGTGACCCCGTGCACTGTGCCGTGACACACAGATGCGTTACTTGGTTCTCCCTTGTGTTACCTCTGCAGGGGAAGAGTTATCATCTCCCATTTGACACGTGAAGAAGCTGAAGTTTTGAGAGATTTAACAGTTTGCAGAATTAACTCAGATCACAGCACTCCGCATATCCCCCAATCTTTCGCTCCCCTGTCTTAGTTCCTGAAGGGTTTGTAATCATTGTCCCATCTAAACTGTTTATCTTCTCCTGCCGAAAGGGCAAGGACTTCCCAATCTGACACTCAAAACTATCAGCCAGAAACAATCCGATGAACTGGTCACAACAGCAACAGATCCCTCAATAATTAACTACTTGGGTAATCTACCTGACAATTTTCAGGCTCTGGTGCTTGGCGGATTTCTTTTCTTTCCTGTTACATCTGCTACCCCGTGATCCTCACCTGCAGAGAGACGGGAGTGACTGAGGAACTGTCCTCTTTCTGCAAGTTAGCTATTAAATCATGTGTCCTTTGGAGCAGGGGTGTTTCTTACTGACTCTTGATGAACCCCTGGGAAAAATGGAATACATAAATTATTATTTTTATACAGTTAAGTTACTTTTTCAGTTTATTCGGTGGAAACTTTTCCTCAAATGCCCTAAGATAAGTTGGATTTTTTGGCTGGTTGTCCAAATAACTTAACGTATTCACATTTCTTTACTATCTGATTTCCTAATATTTTTTTCAAAAGGAAATTGAGGTTCTCTCCTGCCTCTCCTAAGGGGGAAGAAGTGAAAAAAACAAAGCAGGAGTGTGTGGGAAATCTGAGGAAATGCAAACCTTTTTCTCCTGTCCTCTTCCCTTGTCCCCCTGTTACCCACCCCTGCTTCCCCTTCTCCTAGGTCCAACATGCCAGCAAACAGATCAGTGCTGAGAAACAGTACAAAGGGATCATTGATTGCGTGGTGAGAATCCCCAAGGAGCAGGGTTTCCTCTCCTTCTGGAGGGGTAACCTGGCCAACGTGATCCGATACTTCCCCACTCAAGCTCTCAACTTCGCCTTCAAGGACAAGTACAAGCAGATCTTCCTGGGGGGTGTGGATCGACATAAGCAGTTCTGGCGCTACTTTGCCGGTAACCTGGCTTCCGGTGGAGCAGCTGGGGCCACCTCGCTCTGCTTTGTCTACCCGCTGGACTTTGCTAGGACCAGGTTGGCTGCCGATGTGGGCAAAAGTGCAGACCAGCGTGAGTTCACGGGTCTAGGCAACTGTATCACCAAGATCTTCAAGTCCGATGGCCTGAGGGGTCTCTACCAGGGTTTCAACGTCTCTGTCCAGGGCATCATAATCTACAGGGCTGCCTACTTCGGAGTCTATGATACTGCCAAGGGTGAGAGAGGGGACGACCCAGGGCAAGGAGTGGGGAGGAGGAGGGTGTGGAGAGGGGATCCTCTGGGTTCTGTAACTCAAAAAGCACTTTAAATTGAGCAGTCATGTTCTTTCTAGTCTCTCGGCTAAAGCGAGGCTTCTGAATGAGGACTTGGTGTGATAATGATAAATTATTAGCCAAAGGAGTCTCCATGTCCTCTGCTGAAATAAACTCTGGCCTTGAGTAAATCAGAGAGGAGGAAGGGGAGCCTAACTCCCTCCTGACACAGCTGAGTTACTCAGTTTAACTTGGAGCAGCTTCACCTTCAGCATGAGGACTCTGACTGCCATGAGTCCACTTTGTTGGCCGTGGGTGTCTGTGAGGTATCCTTGCAAGGCATGGTGCTTCCAGAAGGGGGGAACCTGGGGTTGGAGATGCAGTAGCCTCTTCCCCTCCACCTGCTTTTGGCCAAGCTGCTGACAGCAGTCACTTCATGGCCACTTGGCTTCCTGCCTCTGCCCACAGGGATGCTGCCTGACCCCAAGAACGTGCACATTATCGTGAGCTGGATGATTGCCCAGACCGTGACTGCGGTGGCGGGGCTGGTGTCCTACCCCTTTGACACTGTGCGCCGTAGGATGATGATGCAGTCTGGACGGAAAGGGGGTAAGCATGGGCTCTGCCGAGCGCAAATTATTTTTTGTCCATAGAGAACACTGTTCAGTCCTCCTCTCAATTTTAATTATCCTGAGTTAATTAGCAAAGTTATATGATATGAACTTAGGGAAAGAAGACTATTCCTAACCCTCAACTATTCCTTTAGAGAAAATATTTTTTCTTTTTATTAAACAGATAAGATAAAAAATGAGATATGTAAAAGGCAAACTTAACTAGCACACTTAGACCCTCTTTCCTTTGAGCCTGGGTACAAAAACAAGGGAAAAGAAGTAATTTTAATGTGTGATTCCTTTATTTAATTATTTCAAATTTAGTGCCAGAGGCTGTTTTCAGCTAGGAGAAAGATGGCTTGAAGCAATCTGTTTTGACAGAAACATTTATGCTTCAAGGGTTGAAAGATAAAAGTCATTTTTAAAGCAAAATACACATATGAGCAGTCTCATGTGGTTCAACTTTTTAAACTTTTTAAACACTTAATTGTAGTTGCATAATCTTGGGCAATATAATGTGAGATTAGGCCCAGTTCTCTCATTCATAAAAAAAGGCAGCTGTGCAGTGTAACACTCCTGCTTTACAGTTTGATAGCATGTGAATTGGTTGGTGAATTACCCGGATTCTTCCATTACTTAGATAAGTATGAATGATAGGAAACCCAGCTTAACAGTTATGCAAAGAAAGAGACTGTCTAGTGGAATGTTTCATAGAGCTTAATGCCTAAGTGACCTTAATTTTATAAATCTGGTAACATTGCATACAGGTGTCTTTCAGAGAAAAGTCTCTTTCCTCCAGATTTATGGAGCCCTGACCCACATTTGTCTCCACAGCTGATATTATGTACAAGGGGACAATTGACTGCTGGAGGAAGATTGCAAAAGATGAAGGAGCCAAGGCTTTCTTCAAAGGTGCCTGGTCCAATGTACTGAGAGGCATGGGTGGTGCTTTTGTATTGGTATTGTATGATGAGATCAAAAAATTTGTCTAATGCAGTTAAAACTCAAGTTCACTGCCTTACAGTGAACTTGGTACACAAGTTCACAGATTCATTGTGTGGTTTAATAGACTATTCCTGCAGAAGGAGAAAAGCAGATCTGGGATAAAACCAGACAAAAAAGGAATACCTCAGGCAAAAAAAAAAAAAAAAAAAAAAAAAAAAAAGCTTCATTGAGTGTTCATTAAACCACAAATGTATTTTGTATTTATTTTACATTTAAATTCCCTCAGCAAATGGAAAATAACTTACAATACTTGTACAATTAACCGAAGAGCTGATAGTGAAGAAATAACTGAATGTGAATCATCAATAAAGATCACTTACTGCACGTTTTCTTATTGAACTCTTGTTAACTCTTAATAGGTTTAAAAAAAATAAGACCACCTGGGTAGGGTGGTACATGCCTGTGATCCCTGCACTCAGAAGGCTAAGCCAAGAGAATTGCTGTGAGTTTGAGGCCAGCCTGAAAGGTCAAGCTCAACATGAACTACATAGTGAGACCTTGTCTCAAAAAAAAAAAAAAAAAAAAAAAAAAACCAAACAAACTATCAGTGCATATTTTCTAATATGGTGTATTTACTAGAGAGTGAGCTTCTATACATCAGATACTATACTGACTATATGTTTTTAAATTCAAGTAGTTCATACATTGTCTTTATCTTACCTCATACTGTTTTTCTGTGGGCTCAAAAGTGGTAACATGGAACATCCTCTTACAACCCCACCTTGTTTTATGCACTTTTAAGCAGTCAAGGAATTCTGAAATTGTGCTAAAAAGGTTTGCATCACAATTTCAAGAATTTTGCATGCTTAGGAAGTGCTCTATTTTAGTCCCTGTAGGAACTAAAAGGAGTTCTAAGGCAGTATTCCTTGCAAATCAGTTACTTAGTTTAGGCCAGTGTGACAAAGTAACACAGACTAGATGGCTGATAAGCAACAGAAACACTGCTCACAGTGCTAAAAGCTGGCGGTCTGAGATCAAGGTGCCAGTATGACTGGGTCCTGGTGAAGTCTTCTGACTCATGGTGGAAAGAGCTCTCCAGGGTGCCTTTTGAAAGGCTCTAATGCCTTGATGTGGGTGCCACCTGTCTTATCACTTCCCAATGCCATCACCTAATGCCACCATCTCCTAATGCCATCACTTTGGAGATTAGGGTTGCATCATTGGAATTTTTGGAGGGATATAAATATTTCAGTCCATTATATCACTTGTCAAGCTAGTATTTCATACCTACTAGGTTTGTGAAAGATACAAAAAAACTTAAACAGGGGGTGGGGGATCTAGCTCAGTGGCATAAGCACCTGCCTGGCAAGTGCGAGGCCGTGGTTCAATCCCCCATACCAAAATAAAAACGAAAACAAAACAAAACAGCTTAAACAGAGTTTAAGCCCTAAAAAATCTTAAACAGGGAAAATGGTAAAATGATAATTAAATAATGTAACATAATAATGCAATAAATATTGGTTGAGAAGTGGGGTTGGTAATTAGAGAAGGGGTGATAAATGGGGAAAGGAATGGTAAGAAGGGAACTTTGAAAGAAAATAACTAGATTTAGATACATGGGTATAGAAAGTATCTGTTAGTGTCTCTTTCTGTAACATTTTATCAAGACTTAGAGAAAAGGTCTGTGTAGAATTGACTCAGATTTGTAAGCAAGAGAAAATAAAATCTCAAGGGGAAAGTTAATTTGGACCAGGAAAAGACCAGTTGGTATCATCTCAGTTTGTAATGGATCTGGAGGAATCAAATCCCAGTGTCCCAGGCAAAGCTGGGAAGGCAGGCAGAGACTTTGCGGTGACAGAGGTGTTTTGAGAGCTGTGGAATTAAGCCTTTAGCCTACTCACTCCTGCCTCCTAATAAGAAAGTGGCTGTCTTGCTTTTACCACAGTGACCACTATCTGGGCTTCACCATATCCAAAGGTAATTTAACCTGACTTAGATACCTATGCTGATGGAAAAGACCACAGGTCTAAAACAGAGGGCATCTGTCAATCTTGCCTTCTCTAGGTCTGGCCCTTTCGAGGCATCTCAGATAATGCTGCTTTTTGTCCCAGGAAAATATAAATGATCCAAATTCTATTGTTGATCGAGGTGAATGCAGGGCAAGCTAACAGGGCAATACGTTTGTGCAGCGCATCTAAAAGTAGGGCCAGACTTTTTAGTATTTTCAATCCTACGGGTTTAGGACAGGGAAGCCATGAGATGTACCTGGAAACTGACTGTAATGAATAAAAACAGTAGGTCATCGCAGCCACACCAGGAAGCACATTGCTCTTTAATCTAACTGCCCTCCCTGGCATGCACTGGGGAAGAGAGAGGCAGAAGCGAGTATTTAATAGTTCACATTGTCTGCATTCTGCACGGGCCCTGGCTCTGGCCTCCCTTTCCTGCGAAGCTACCTCCAAGGCATCCTGCTGGGAGTCCTGCTGGGTTAGTGCCGCTGCTACTGCCTCGGTCTCTAGGAATTCCTAGGACTCTCACGTCCACTAGGAGGCCATAATCTCACAGGGAGACACAGCAGTACTTTTTCCCTTATGTCCTGTCTCGCTAACATCATTGTGCAAAGTTGTCATACCTGAAGGTCTGGGAAGCTAAGAGGGGTTCATGTGACAGTGACAACTTGGAATTGCGTGTTGGGCTCTCTGGGACTCTCACTAACCCCTTCATCCTTCTCTGTACTCTCCGTAAATGCAAGCCTCTTGTCACCATCCCTTACCATTTTTATGCACTTCCTTCTGGAAAGGCTTACCTACAGGCATCTTGTTTCTTTTAGGCAGCTTATATTTTATATGTATGAAAAAATTTATGGAATATGACAAGGGAGCCTGCCTGCCTATGATGGAAATAATTGGACATTAAAAAAAAAAAACTTGCTTTGATTCTTTGGGCTGAAATCGCTGTTAACTAGATGGTTGCTTCCATTCTATTTTACTTTGCAAAATATGTAACTTGTGTCGAGGTAGAGTTTACTAATCACCCATGACGTGCGTAGGCTAGGATGGGAAAACTTCACAAGGCAGCTTCTTTTGTGATTTCATGCCTAGATCACCTGGGACACAAGTGTTTAATAAAGTACTTGTGAAGTGCAAAATGGATGAGGAGGAGGAAAGTGTTAGCTCCAAGTGCAGGGCAACTTGAGAATATGTGGGAAAAAGCAAGTCCTTCAGCTTAAATGAAATCCTGAACAGCCTACTGTGGTTGCTGGACAAGCCTGTTTGGGTCATATAATGTAAATGGATAAATATTTATGGCTGCCTTACATTCAGGTCCTTAAATAAAATTTATTAAATTTTAGGTCCTTAAATTTCAGGTCCTTAAATAAAATTTTAAAGTCTTGGCAAGTGCAAAGTCATGAGATCACTGGTACAAAAAAAAAAAAAATTTTTTTAAAGTCTACTATGTCATGAATTCCTTTTTACTTTCCTGCTCCTACTGAATTATCAACCCATGAAAAAGCATAATTTAGTCCTTATTATGCATGGACTTCAGATCTGCAAATTGGTCTTACTGCTAACATTTGTTTATACCCATTTGTGAGCATTGTCAGCACAAGATGTGCATGTTCTTGGCTGAAGTTCCAAGGTGCAGCTCTGCTTTTGGTTTTAGCTCTCACGCTGTGAACCAGTGCCCTTTTCAGTCTGTAAGTGTGTGGCAATATCTTTTATGTTTATTGATACATTCTAGATATACATAGTGATCACATTCATCATAGGGAGTTTGTACCTGTACATGATGTAACTTTTCTTCCCCAGTCCCCTCCTCTCCCTTCAGCTCCTCTTCCCTTCATTTACAAAAGCTGTTTCCTTGGTTCCTCCCGCTTCTTTTCCTCCTCTCTCCTCTAATTCCCCTTCCAATATGAACATTTTCTTCCTGTCTCACAATATCTGTTACACATTTTGATCCTTATTTACACTGTTTCTCACACCAGAGAAACAATGTGATATTTACACGTCTGATTTGAGTGTGGTCTCAAGTTGCACTCATTTACCTATAAAAGTCTCGTTTCTCATTCTTTATAGCTCAGTAGTGCCCCACTGTATAAAAATACACTTTTTTTTTTAATCCATTCCTCAGCTGACGGGCATTTGGGTTGTTCCTAAGATTTAGCTATTACAAATTGTGCTGCTATAAACATGGGTGCTGTGGTATGTTTTCAGTTCTGTGGAAAAATACCCACAAGGGGAATAGCTGGGTTGAATGGGAGCACTGATCCTAGTTTTTTGAGGAATCTCCATACTGATTTCCACAGGGGTTGCACCAGTCTACACTGCCACCAATAGTAGAGAAGGTTCCTTTTTCCCCCACAGCCCCTCCAGCATTTGTTATTGATTTCCTGATAGCCATTCCCACTGGGGTGAGATGGAATCTCAGTGTTTACATCTCTCTAATGACCAATGATGGTAAATGTTTTTTCATATACTTGCTATTTGTATTTCATCTGAAAAGTGCACTCTTATCTCAGCTGCACAGTTTTGGACTGGGTCTCTGAATTTAGGGGGGTCTGATTTTTTTCAATTCTTTTTATGTTCTAGATAGAAGCCCTTTGTCTTGAGGAACAGTTGGCTAAAATTTTTTTCCACTGTGTGGATTGTCTTTTTACTCTTTGGTGATTTCTTTTGATGTGTAAAAGCTTTTTATGAGATCTCAGTTGTTGATTCTGGGAAGCATTTCTCATGCAGTTTGGGTTTTGTTCATGAAGTCTCTGCCTACACCTTTGTCTTCAAGATTTCTACCTACTTTCTCTTCCAGTACATTTAGAGTTCGTTTTTAGATCTTTAACCAATTGTGACTTTAGGTTAGTGCATAGTGATAGACATGGGTCTGGTTTTAGTCTTCAGCATGTAAAAAGTCAGTTTTTCCAGCATCATCTATTAAAAAGGCTTTCTTCCACTGCACGTTTACCCACATCTTCTTTATCCATTCATTGGGTGATGGGCATTTGGACTGTTTCCAAGATTTAGCTATGACAACTTCTGCAGTGTTTTCTTTTTTGATGTAATTTTGTTAAGATGGCACCAAACATGGCACCGAAGCACTATCTAGAGTTCCCAAGCTCAAGAAAGTTAAAATCTGCCTTGTGAGGAAAATACATGTTAGAAAAACTTCTTTAAATTGGTAAATCAATAATAAATATTAGTGTCTTAAAGCAGAAACACATATAAATAAGAATTATAAGTTCAACAGTGACCAAAGGTTCATGGAACCTAACTTTAGATTTCCTCTTATGAGCAGTAGTTTATCATACATTATTATTTGCCTTGACTTTATACAATGTAACCACCATGAATAATGAGTCAACTGTATTAAAATTTTTAGTTACATAGTAA